GACTAGAGCAGTTTCTACTTCTGTTCTCTACCTTCTACTATCAGATTTCTAATTGAAAACATATCTAATGAGTTTCAGGACTGCTTAGGGTGTTTCTGTGTCTATACACAAGTATATGGGTGTAAATGGAAAACCCATAGATCCTGAGAGAGCCCATGACACGTTGATAGAGCCCATGAGCAAAGAGCATCACTGCTTGCATTACTGACTGCACATTCCCTTTTACAAGAGGCTCAGAAATGCCAAGCCATTTTAGCTGATGGCATCATAACAATAATTACATTCTGAACTTTAAAGTTGACAGCATTTCTCAAAGAAATCTGTTCATAGTGATGTTAAGGACAAGGCCAGCTTTGGCACATGTATTGCTGTATACAACTCAGTAAGTATAAAAACTGGAATTGCTAGGTAATAAAGCATAACAAAATGACTGTCTTCATGGGGTGTAACACAGATAAATCATATAAACAATTTTGCCAAGATACTAAATGTAAATTATGGCAGAGTTATTCTAGTTACTTTCAATTACAAGCATCAATCATCTCTTTTGATCGATACACTATTGCAGACCTGATGAGAGCACTAAGCATCTTCCTTTCAGGCTAAATGGAAGAAGAAATTAAACAGCTGTTTATGAAAGGGTAGTGAGGAACAACTGGAGGCCACTGCCCAAGAAAATGGCTTTAATTACAAAGTATGAGCTGGACTAAGCCCTGTGGTCGAAAGAAGCTGGGGATTTCTTTCAGTGGCTTGAATGAAAAAAAGGACTGGGGGATTTATGCAGCCATGAGTGTGTTTCTGGGGAAAAGCAGGGCACAGAACGAACCTTGGGCTCCCTTTCTACAGGCACAGAACGAGCTGGAGGAAAACCTGGAACTAATGAAGAAAAAACCTCCCTGCTCGGGTTTCTGTCTTGGCAGGGAAACAGAGCTTTGTGTATGCCATTTGTGATATGTAGGATTATACCAACAAAATGTTTGTATCGTTGGAAAATTATTTGCATCGGTTTTCATTTGGGAAGAAATTCTGAATTCTCTTAGCTCAGCACCCAAATCTTTTAAAAATATTTGTCCCTTTGCCTTGTGCTGACTTTTCGTCACCATACTGACCAAAAGCTAAAGACATGACTAATGAGTTCAGGGTAGCTGTAGCTTGGAAGGTGTCCAGGTAAGAGCTGATATATTTATATTCTTGAGCTGTCTTTAACACCTTGGTTTAAAGAGAAACTGCCTGCAAGGAAACCCAAAGAGTGTTGGCTTTCCTAAGCACAAGTGGAATCCCAGGGACTTTTATGGGATGAGTGAGGTTGAAAAAAAGAATGTGCAGTTAAAAAAGAATACTTACTATGTAGTCACGATTAATAATCTCTTATACCATCTTTGTTAAATAAAGCAATAATGTTTTTAAATCCTCTGGGAAAAGGGAGCTGCCTGTATGCTTTTACTTACCATTTCTTCTCATAGAAAGCAAGTCAGGATGCTCATGCCTCCAGTGAGATTCTGGGAAAGAGCATTCGCTGGGCATCTGCGGAGCCACCACTGTCCCTGAGAAGAGGTACCCGGAGTCACACCTGAGTGCAGCAGCAGGTGCCAAGTAATTGGTCTCCAGTTCCCAAGTCTAAGTCTGCTGAAAAATCCTGCCCGGGCTCTGCTTATTGTCCAGAGGCTTAAAACATCCCAAGACCCTCTAAAGGCAACCTGCTTCCTGACAGATATGAAAAGATGTGCAAAGGAGACAGTTCTGCAAAGAAGATGAGAATATTTAGGTTTGCAAAGACACTCTAAAACATATCTCTCTTCCTCTAGCTTCAAGATACCAGGTGAATTGTGAGGTTCAAATATTTGGCTGTGTGTTCAGGGGGTTCTGTAGGATTTCTGCATCTGTTTGTTTTGTAGCTGGAGAATATTCCCCCCACCTAGCATATCCCACCACTCACACAGCAAATAAATGTCTTTTGGCACTGACTGGTATACCATCCATAATACTATATAATAGTTAATGTGTGGGAATAACAACACCCCATCACAGATAGTAGAGAGGATAGGAGAACAATTAATATCGCTACCACTCACTAGCCAGCAGAGCCCAGCATGGAAATCCAAGGCGTGCTTGCCAGAGGAACAATGCTGAAAGAAGGGTGATGACTCCAATGGAGCCCTCAGTATCCATGGGAGATGCAATGATGAAGTCTCCTAAAGTTGACAGTGAGTAAAGGATAGTTGGACTTGCTCAGTCCAAACATGCCTGCTCTGAAATCCATCTTCTGTTTGTCAGTTTTCATGTGCCGTCTCTGTGTCACGCCAAGGACAAGCTGAAAGCTGCAATATAAAGAAGATGTCTGTTGGAGAAATGTGTTTCTTGTTATATGCTTTATAAAGCAAAATCAAGTCAGCAATTGAAGTGGTGCTCTGTATACCACAGGCAACATCTCCCAGATGAGCATCGAATGCTTCGTCTACATTGCAAAGGACGAGAAGTGGGAGTCAAATGGAACCAAACTACCCAAATAGGGAACTGAGCTGAAGTGATTTGCATTCTAAAAATGGAATTTTTTTGTTTCACTTCCAGGACAATGCCAGGAGTGAAATATTGCATTTTCGCCAAAAGAGGATAGCGGTGTGCAATATACTGCTGATTAAAGAAGATTGCTTAAAAGAAACATTAAAAAGAAGATTGTTTCTGCTTTTGATATTCCCTTGCAGCCAGTAATGTGAGGGACAATTAGAATACCTCAGAAATGAAAAAGCTTGGTGATGTTGTAACCAATAGTGTGAATACTGGTTGGTTTATTCCCTCCACGATGATGGAGAAATTCACCAAAATTAATCCTAAGTAACTATCAAGAACAAAGACAAGTTTCAGGTGTATCTCAATCATGACTTTTTTGTTCCATTTTTGTAACTTCTGTTTTCAGTTTTGTGTGCTTAGATATTGCAGTTGGCCAGGAGACACTTCACTTCAGTTGCTCTTAGCTTGTGTATAACAATTTGTTGTTATTTTTATTAAGATGGCTCAAGCTGAGCTGATTGATACGCTGTTACTCCAAGAGCAACAAATTTACCCTCTGTGATATGTGTTCTTAGGCATAAATCTTTAAAGTCAAATACACATTTCTAATTAACCATGTATGAAATCAACCCTGTTGAATTAGGGGGGGAATTTCACTGAATGTCTATAATTAATCAAAATACGAAAGATAGATAAACTAACAAACATAAGGTGTTAGCGCAGTGAGAGGATCTTTATTTAGAAGCAGCCTTTAGCACCATTTAATGCACGAGTTCGGTTTCTACTGACCATCTGTCATAGCTGCTGTCAGCTTCACAAGCCTCGTGAACTTTGCTAGTCCTGGTGTTAGACTTCAAAAGATGCTGTGCCCACCCATCACTATCACATGGATCCATAGACCATATTGTGGCAGCATGAAACAAAGAGTGGTTTTGGCAGGAATAGAAGAGGCTGCCCCTGTGTTTCAGTTTTTCTCCTTCCAAAGTAGCAGGCATTTAATTGGATTAACTGGACTAAAGTCAGTACTGCTTGAAGAGGTAGCATCAGATGCCTTCTTGGTAATGAGAATATTCTTACTCAGCTCCATTTGAGAAATGGTGGGAACTAAACCCATGTTGCAAGATTGTGCTCTCTTCTCAAACAAGGTTCGTAGCAAGACCAGGTGAAATGCATTAGATATTTCCAAAATAGCTTGTATGTCATAGCAGAAGTCAGGAGCTGTTAAAATATAGATTATAAAAACCTTCTTAGAAACCTGGAAAGCAAGTAAGGCAAGGGACGCTCATGAGCTGCATCCATGACTTTCATCAATGCAGCCTAGCACAGCTGATTGCAGTAAACTTGAAAAGATATTTATCAAGTATTAGTTCTTTTTGAATTCTCTTTAAGAAATGTGGGGACATGGCAGTCCCTATCAATTCCCCTCTTTGTATTCAGCTCACAAACTTATATATTTTTAAGGCCTGTAGATCTTGACACGCTTATTTGTCACATCGCCACAGAGGTTGTTGCTGAGACTCCTTTCCATCGTCTCCTGTGACTATCCAGTAGCTCTGGGAAGAGGTTTGTTAACTTGCGTTCTCGCCACTGTCCTCACACTGGCTGAGGAGGAACTGTTCTCACCTCTGTTGTACCTGCATCTGCTGTTGGTACGGCTGAGCAGGACAACACCATTTTGCTACAGGGTGCAGAACACTGAGTTTAAAATCCCTGTTTGCAAACTTTCTTGCTTTCTTGAAAATTCATGTTCTGGGCTAAAATTTCTCAGTGTATATTTCAGATTTGGCAACAAAAGAAAGTAAAAATGGACACGAAGCATCCCTTAGGTATGCGCAGATATAGATGGCACATTAATAATTGTCGTATCATTTAGTAGCTATTGTTTTTTACGAGACTGTAATCATTTGATTATCTTAATCCTGTTATTTTGACATTTCATATAAAATTATTGGGTAGATCACAGCTTCCTTCATAGTATTGGTGACCTTCTGTTACTGACCTCTGATCTGCTTATCATCAAGAATAAAACTTGGGTACACTTTGCAAACAACACTGGTATATGCTACGCTTTCCACCTCTTTTTAGCGTTCTTTTCTTTTACTGCCCTAGTGAACATAGAAAATACCTTGTGAAATAAAAAAGACTCATGGACTCCATAGGAGCTAATACATAGGGAATGTATAGTAGTCTGAGGAGGCACATGAAGTTGGAGGTAGCTTTTGTTTTGAGCTGTTTGAGGAATGTTGGCACATTCCTGAGACTGTTTTCTCTTCCCGTTGGCAAATCTCCCACGAGAGTTGTGCTAAGCTGGACGCAATCATTCCTCAAAATCTGCTCCATTAGCATAGATGTCGAGCTGGACCAGCCAATACAGTTTTATTGTATATACCATGCCTAGAGTGTTTGCCTACATAGCTTCAAGCGTGCCATCTCCTGGATTTCCCCACCTACACTGAATGCATATGAATTACAGGTTGGTTCCTGCACTACAGGTGGACCTGTGGCAGCCCAGCAGCCCCTTCCACATCGTTGAAGGTACGGTCACCGACGTGCGAGTACCACAGAACACGTCCCGAAGTCTGCTGCCCTACCTCCAGCAAGCAAACATCCAGTACACGTAAGCCTGTGCTTCGCTTTCTGTGCCTCGCTCCAGAGATCTGGCCTCCAAGGCAGGTCTGCATCTACCACGCCAAGTGCGCTTCAAAATACGTTCCACATCATAGCAATTAGACTGGCAGACAGCTAGACATTGCCAAGAAAACAACCATTTTAATGGGAGAACAGAAAATCTCCCACAGGCAGGCAGTTTTAATTAAATGTCCTCCTTTGGAGTCAAGCTGAAGTGTTTTCAATGTATATGGAATCACATCTGTTAAGAGAGGGATGGTAATTACTAATTCTGCAGCCTGCTTTGCCTCTCTCTGTATTTAACAGGAGCAAGGTTTGTTTACAAGTGTGCTGCAAACACGGAGGCAAGCCTTCTTCATGAATTATAAAGGAATGTACTAGTTCTGTTTTATAACTCTCCATTCCTCATGACCCTATGCAACTCATACAGCACAAATACACGCTAAGGATCACACATTATTTATAGCATTTCTTAAAAGCATTCAAGACGGCTTTGGAGTATACTTATCATTCATATTTATCAATATGATATACTAGACAAGAGTAATGATCTTGTCATTAAAGCCTTTTCAGTGAGATGCTGAAGCATCTGGATAATCAACTGATGAGTTAGTTGAATTCCCAAACATTTGCTGAATAAAGCCCTACATGAGGCTATTTATATGTATTTCTCAGAAAAGTATGCACAAATCATACTGTGTATCATATGTACTCTTACCAGAATTCCATTTTTATTATAACAATGGTCTCTTATTAATTTGTCTTTCTAAAAACAGCAAAACAAACATAAGGAAATTAATTATGCAGGCCCGGTAGCAGAAGTTCAGAGTGACTTTCATGGAGGTTCAACACTGCTTTGGTTTTGTTCGTGTTTAAAAATGAGACGGGGATTTCTGTAATTGTTTTCCTGTGCTTATACAAAAACTGTCCCCTAATTACTGTGGCCCAACAGTTGTATTCAGGTCTGCTGCTGTTCCTGCTCACAGTAATCACCTTTAATGAAATGACAGAAGGCCATTTTATATGTGTTATAAACACTCCCTGCACTTGAAGACCTTTACTTAGGTTGCAGAGCACAGTGTGCAAGCGCAAGAACTGTGAGAGCGAAAGGTCTCTGCAGTTTACCTGAAACAATGTGCTACAAATACTAGGACAACATGACATTGATTTTCCACAGGGAATATTTCCTCTCTGACATTTGGCACACAAGTGTGCACTTAGGAGGAAGCTGGGCAGTATTTTGTCGGCTCTAGACTGTTTCTTTGCTCTCCCTCTTCATCTCCCCACTGCCCGTTTTGGACTCCTTGTCCGCTGGGTCCCAGCCATCAGAAGGAAAAGCCTGCCCAGCCTCGGATGAGCATGTGCTTGTCCTGAGAAGCCTCCTAAGACCTGTAACTCCACAAGAGCCAGCAGGATTCGCCATGAGAGCAGCAACAGATGCAGTGAGGGAGCCGCAGGAGCAGGGCTGCCGGGACGGCCGGGCACGGCCATGCCCACAGCGCAGCTGGGGTGGGGACCACAGCCCTGAGCTGAGCGCAGCTCCACAGCCAAGGGGCTGAAGCGCCAGGCAAGGTTTCATACAGCTCCTTTGCTCATGGCTGCTTTTCCCAATATTTTTTTTTATTTTATTTTTGACACACTACTTACTTACAAAGGAGTTAAATTGCGACATCCCTTTTGGAACTGGAAAATCTGAGGCAAACACCATATAAAACTTCAGCATGACGGAGTGACGCTTGCCTAAATTATGACAAATTTCTGAAGACAGGAAGCATTAAGCAGCCCTAAATATGAACAAGGTGACCATCCTTTGCCTGTTAAGACAGGCTAGCTTATCGGTCCCAGTGTTTGACTTTATGACACGAAGATGGTCATGAAAACAAGCCAGGCATCAGATAAACTCTTACTGCACCAACTTGCCTCAGTTGTAACTACTCTGGCAACGAGGCCACTTAGGTTGTATTGAGACCTGACGTTACTTAAGAGCCTTTGTGTTACAAGCACACACAGTATACAGTCATTTAAGAGTAAAGAAAGATTATCAAATCTCATTTGGAATACAGACACATGAACAATCAGGAGCTGTGAAATTAAATCTATTATTAAGTGAACAGAGCTTGATCCTGGTAGGTACTTACACTAATCAGAATTCAGCAAAGCAAGCAAGTATTTTTTTAACATATTAGATGTCCTAATGACTTGAATAAAATCACTGCTTTAATCTAACTACAGGCTTAAATGCTTTACAGTACTGGTCTTAGAGTGTATAGCTCTTTGCAAGTCAAGACTATAAGCCCTTAGTTCGCTTAATGAAAGTTGCTGATGTAGAACAATGTAATTCCTAATTATGCAATTACTTCACTAGTACATTTGAAGATGGGGATAATCTTTACTTTGATATTATATGTAGATAGACCTGTTCTCTTTGAGATATCTGCTGCACAGCTGAGTTAGGATCAGAGTGAATGCAGTTTCTTTCCCTCTTTTCCAATCATTGCAGCTAATGCTTATAAAACTTTAAAAGGTTGAATGTGACCACTGTTTTACAGGAATGATGAATTAGTGGTATGGTGATTACACATTGCCATGCTTTAGGAGAAGGAGATATACAAGAATGGCTCTCAGTTTTACAGCGATGTTGTTACTGATGTCAGTGACGATACTCCCAGCTCCTGCCACGGTGTGATGGGAAGGATAGATGCTCCAACCTCTTCAATATAATTCTTTTTAGATGTTTTCTGTATTACATTTTTATATTTGTATCATTATTTGGTTTTGCCATAAAATAGGAAAGTTTACAGCTTACACCACTGTTTCTGCATTTTGCTCTTAATGCAAAGAACCTCTCGCTTTTTATGCAAGCATATTTAATTTTCACTTAGTATTGTTTCATGTTTTTCCTGAGTTATTTTAAAATAACTGGCAAACAACTATTGCAGAGTACGTAATGTAAACAGCAAACTACACTTAAGATTTTTTTGTTTGTTGTGTTTCAGACAGAATTATAATGCTGCCAGGTCCTTAAATTTTTTTTGTTTGCCTCTACAACTTGTAGGTATATGTAATGTTCCGTGCCAGTACAATAACTCCCAAGAGAAAGTATGTGCATGTTTTTCTAAGTCTAAAAAGATTTTTTTAATGGTTTTTAAATCCATTTCTGAAGATCCATGATCACGTAGTATAACTGGATTATAAAAGAAGACAGCAAATGCTGTACCGTAAACAAATGAAAGTGGCTTCTTCTTCACATTGGTTACGTTATTTACATCATGCTGGTTTATTCGCTTAACAAGCTCATTGTGTTCTTTGAAGACACTGTTACATTTCAAAGCAGCTGGAATATTTATTTGGCAGCATATATTCAAATAAGCCCAAAGCACTCTATTGTCCAAATATAACAGATGAAGTAATGTCAGGATTGTTTAACTCCTGCTGTATTTCTTCTAAATGTGATTGTTATTCTGCTTTAGTTTGTGTGTTCTACTAGTTTTTCAGTAATACCGCTATCTTTTTTTACCTAGGATTCTCATATCAGACCTGCAGAAGGCAATAGAAAACCAAACTGGACTGAGGTCATATAGGAGTCGAAGGTCCCTCTCTGGTTATAACTACGAAGTATATCACTCCCTGGAAGAAGTATGTGAAAATTCATATTGTTCCTCTTATCCACTACGCTGTTGATTTTAATAAGGCTAAGATTTCACTTTCTCTAAAAGTTATGGTTACCTGTTCATCTTCAGAACTGTTCTAAATGTTTCTTCTTCAAAAATAGGCACCTTCTTGAAAATATTTTTTAAAAAAATATTTGTATCCAAGGCTTATCTTTACATGTAACTATCTTTGACAGCTTCTGAGTTTTGTTTCTAAAGTAGGCCTTTTTCTCTGATGGAATAAGAGATTTCAGTGAGTGATTAGTCTCACTGAGCCATTTAAGTAAGCAATATGAGCAAGTGCTTAAGTATTATTTGCACAAAAGGCCCAAAGGCTTAAAAACACTTAGATACAAATTCATGTATAAGGGATACTATCCTGGAAGATAGCTGGGTAAATAATTTCTGTTGATTCCAGTGTGCTGACATACGCAGTTTCAGTCTGCACCAAAACAAAGTCACTAGGCTGAGCATGCAAGGTGCTGCACCTCAGTGAGATCCAGTGCCCATGAAACAAATACTGCAGGTAGCATTGAATCCTGCAGGTCAACCTGTTCGCCGTTCTGTGTCCTGGCAGGCAGGCTCAGGGACCTACTTTCTTCATGCCGTTAATATTTATTGGGAATGGAAAATTAGCCCCATCCCCAGATTTTCAATGGACAGGTAATGCATTCCAGTAATGTCCGACAATAAAATGGGAAAAAAAATCCCATGTGACTGAAGGCGGCATCCAGCCTCTGGCAACAGAGCTATGAGAGCCCGATGATAGTTCAAGTGTGAAAACAAGAATAAACAAACAAACAAACAAACAAAACCCAAAAAGAGAAAAACTACAGGAAAATCAAAAAACATACAGAGGACTAAGAGCTGAGATTAATAAACACGTTACAGTTGCTTCCCATGAAATGAAAGACTGAAGCAACAAGTTTATTTCTGTATTTGCAGATCCAGGGTTGGATGCATCATCTGAATAAAACTCATTCAGATCTTGTTCACATGTTCTCTGTTGGAAAATCCTATGAAGGGAGACCACTGTTTGTACTCAAGGTAAAGATTAAATAGTCATTAATCAGACTAAAATCTGGAATCAGAGACAGCCATTTCGTTACTTATGTTACAGCATGTACACTGGAGAGGCAGGTTAACAGTGTTTCCTAAGGATCAGCTGCTAAGATCTAAGTCTCTCTCTGAATGTCGTCTTTAATGAACAAAAAAATAAAAAGCTGGAAAACTAAAAGCCGAATCCTGTTGACTTGAATTGGATATGCATGGAGATAAATTACAGGACAAGTTCAATTAGCAGGATTTGGATTTAAGGGAATTGGAAAGTTTTGTGTTTATAGACAACTTGGAAGGCAGTTATGCAGGAGAGGGACCCCAGAGGACTCTGGAGCCCTTCTCAGCACGTGCCACATACGCTTCCTCTTTAGCTACTGACACAATTTCAGGGCTGTGTGCTCTCAATTCACATTATTAGGACCACAAATTAGAGGGTGTCAGCAAGGTGCAAAAAAATTTTACTTTCAATGTACTTTCTTTTCATCTGCTGTTGCAGAGTTCTGAAAATTTGATTCTGCATCAGGCTTTTCCTGTAGAATTGTTTTTCCTTACCCTGCTCCACGAGATATTTAAGGATATCATTCCTCATAAAAGAAGAATTGACATATCTCACTTTCCCTGTAATTATTTTTCCGTAGATCAGCTTCATTATCTTGGCATACCTGCATATCATTATCGTGGCCATACCTTTGAAAACAATAAATTTGTGTTCCTTTGTATGAGGAAATTCAAAATGGTTTAGTGTTTCTAATATTCTATTATTTTCTCATTATTGTGTCTCACTCGTGTCATGAGATCTATTGATATTTCTATGAATATTCACACTTCAAGGTAGGTAAAAGATCGCGGCCCTACAAGAAAGCTGTCTGGATAGACTGTGGGATTCATGCAAGAGAGTGGATTGGCCCTGCCTTTTGCCAGTGGTTCGTGAAAGAAGTAAGTGTTTAATGATTTACAGTCATGCAGTGCCTTCAGTTCGATAAACATTGCGTTTTTGCCGTAATCAATCTAACATATTATTAATAAGAAAAGTAACTAGCTATTATACTGCTTTTTTTTTTTTTATTTGTTGAACACTTAAGTGCTTGATAAACAAAGCTGATAGTGACAGCCAGACACAGCTAGGCACAGGACAAAAATATGCCAGACACATATTGTCAGAGATATGAAGTAAGATTCTATTCCAAGACCTAAAAATGTGAAGATTTTAATTCTGGTAATGGTCCAGGTAAATCTGTGCCAGTGTTTACTGCTTCAGATCAGTTCAGCAATATCTTTGCTTTAAGGACTTAGATTAAGACATTTCTCTTTTGTGTAATCCCATAGGAATAGGAAGCTAAAATCATAGAATCATAGAATAGGATCATAGAATTGTTTAGGTGGGAAAAGACCTTTAAGACCATCAAGTCCAACTGTTAACCTAACACTGCCAAGTCCACCACTAAACGATGTCCCTCAGCTCCACATTCACAGATCTTTTAAATACCTCCAGGGATGGAGACTCAACCACTTCCCTGGGCAGCCTGTTTCAATGCTTCACCACCCTTTCGGTGAAGAAATGTTTCCTAATATCCAACCTAAACCTCCCCTGGTGCAACTTGAGGCCATCTCTCCTTGTCCTATCGCTTGCTACTTGGGAGAAGAGACCGACCCCCACCTCACTACAGCCTCCTTTCAGGTAGTTGTAGAGAGCGATAAGGTCTTCCCTCAGCCTCCCCTTCTCCAGACTAAACAACCCCAGTTCCTTCATCTGCTTCTCACAAGACTTGTGCTCTAGACCCTTCACCAGCTTTGTTGTCCTTCTTTGGACACACTCAATGTCTTTCTTGTAGTGAGAGGCCCAAAACTGAACACAGTACCCGAGGTGCAGCCTCACCAGTGCTGAGTATAGGGGGACAATCACCTCCCTGGTCCTGCTGGCCACACTATTCCTGATACAAGCCAGGATACCATTGGCCTTCTTGGCCACCTGGGCACACTGCCAACTCATATTCAGCCAGATGTCAGCCAACACCCCCAGGGCCTTTTCCACCAGGCAGCTCTCCAGCCACTCCTCCCCCACCACCCAACTTGGTGTCATCTGCAAACTTACTGAGGGTGCACTCAATCCCCTTATCAAGATCATTGATAAAGATATGAAACAGAACTGGCCCCAATACTGAGCCCTGGGAACACCACTTCTCACCAGCTGCCAACTGGATTTAACTCCATTCACCACAACTCTTTGGGCCTGGCCATCCAGCCAGTTTTTTACACAGCAAAGGATACGCCAATCCAAGTCATGAACAGCCAGTTTCTCCAGGAGAATGCTGTGGGAAACAGTGTCAAAGACCTTACTAAAGTCCAGGTAGACAACATCCACAGCCTTTCCCTCATCCACTAAGCGGGTCACCTTGTCATAGACGGAGATCCGGTTGGTCAAGCAGGACCTGCCTTTCATGAACCCATGCTGACTGGGCCTGATCACCTGGTTGTGCCATGTGATGGCACTCAGGATGATCTGCTCCATAACATTCCCCGGCATCAAGGTCAGACTGACAGGCCTGTAGTTCCTCGGATCCTCTTTCCGGCCATTCATGTAGATGGGCATCACATTTGCTAACCTCCAGTCAACGGGGACCTCCCTGGTTAGCCAGGACTGCTGATAAATGATTGGAAGTGGCTCAGTGAGCACTTCCACTGGCTCCCTCACTACCCTTGGGTGGATCCCATCTGGTCCCATAGACTTGTGTTTGTCTACGTGGCGTAGCAGCTCACTAACCATTTCCCCTTGGATTATGGGAGCTTCATTCTGCTCCCTGTCTCCATCTTCCAGCTCAGGGGGCTGGGTACCCCAAGAACAACTGGTCTGACTATTGAAGACTGAGACAAAGAAGGCATTAAGTACGTCAGCCTTTTCCTCATCCTTTGTCACTATGTTTTCCCCTGCATTCAATAAAGAATGGAGATTCTCCTTGGCCCTCCTTTTGTTGCCAATGTATTTATAGAAATATTTTTTATTGACTTTTATGGCAGTAGCCAGATTAAGTTCCAGCTGGGCTTTGGCCCTTCTAGTCTTCTCCCTGCATAACCTCATGACATCCTTGTAGTCCTCCTGAGTTGACTGCCCCTCCTTCCAAAGGTCATAAACTCACCTTTTTTTTCCTGAGTTCCAGCCAAAGCTCACTGTTCAGCCAGGTATTGATCTGCTGGCTATTCTTCTTCATAGACAGATTTCACCCCAAATGATGGATTTCGTACTCTCTGAATATCAAGTGGTTCCTCCAGTGTTTCTTTGATCCTATCTTATTGGATTTATGCTCTCTTTATCTTTGATATCTAGGGTTTAGCCTTCATATCCATCCATTTGCTATTTTTCAAATGATCGGTGAAATCAAATGGAATTGGAATTTTGCTTTCCACTTGTTCACTTGTCTTTTCTTTTTTTTTTTATATCAGTGCTTAATCTCTTCTAATTTGAGATTTATTTCAGATGCATGATATGTTTGCAGGATTTTGACATTTCCCCTTAGCCAACAAACTTTTGTTCAAGATGCGATATTGGCTGCACAGTGGTGACTACCTTGCAATGCAATTTACAGAAGTCAAAGAAAGCTTAAAAAAAAACAACAGATGTGCTTTGAATATTTTGTATACCACTTTTTGCACAAAATAAAGGATGCATCTTTTTTTTTGCAAGGTTCTTCCTATCAACACACAATTTTCTCACTTCTGTTCCACCCCATCACTGTGGAACTCAACAATGTATTAATACCTCCTTTGATTTAAAGGATCTGCCTTTGATTTTCTGGGATCTCTTCACTCAGCAGAAAGATCCTGGCCCTGTAAGTCACTTCACGATGGTAAACTTCTGCATTATCAACACCCTAATGCGTTAGCTGAGATGATCATGTAACCATGTGTGGCCTTCCCTCAGAAGTCACAGCAGCATATAGGGCAAGTACAGAAATAATGAGGCCACTGCAATTTGGATGAGCCTGTCAGCATGACTGCTGATGCATGGATAGGCTAAACCAGATCCAGGAGCTGATCTCCAAAGTTCGGTGTGCAATGATGTGCAGTCCTTCTTAGTAGGACTTCTGTTAGTGTAGAAGATGAACAAACTTGCAACTGTTTCTGAGCAGCTGTCCTACCCAGGAGAACAGGCTGCAGTAAGGAAGGAAGATGTTGGGGACAGACAGGCACTGGTGGGAAAGCTTAATACTCAAGTACGTATCCTCACCAAGGTTTTCCCATAAAGCGCAATGTGGCAGCAAGGTAAAAATCGCAAGGTAAAAATCACAAGGTTTCTCTGTAGAGCTTATGGCTGAACATAGGCTGTGCATGTATATATAAAAACCTTCTCGTTGTTATTTGAGATCCTTGGAGAGTAGCTTGCTAGTAAGACTTTCGCTAACTATGTAAAAGCATTTTCCTAGATTAAAGAAAGTTTCTGCAGAGTTCCTTGAGACTACAAGAATGTACCACCTTTGTCTGCCCCTCTCGGTCATGCATTGCCTTTGTTCACAAATGACATAAATTTTCTTCTTTCCTTAGAGCAATTTTTCAATCCAGCATTAAAGCAAAAAGCATCAGGATAAGAATACATTCTGCTCACAGTCTCCATCGTTATATTAAAAATGACTGGGAGAGGAGAGACAAGATGATTAGATTGTTTGGTTTAGGATATTGCTTTTCTCATTACATGAATTAGACATTTTTCATAAGAACTCTGGGAAAACTGAAGGTCTCTCCGTGCTTCAAACTCTGCAATTCTCTTTTGCTGGCAAACCCCTCCCTTAAGCACCTCTGCAGCCCGGCAGCCCACTTTCCATCCTCCCTGGCGTTTACGGGCAGTTCTGAGAAAGGACGGTCAGCTTGGAAACAGATTTTTCCTGGCATGTTTGTTGACTCTAAGGAATAGCACCACAAGCCCACTGATTTAAGGCAAGCAAAAGGAAATGTTGGATTTATGTAGTGTTAGCTTCTTTTCTAGTAGGAACAGCGTACACGTATCCCTTTACTGTGCAGGCAGCCTGAAAAATTTTGTCAAGCTTTCACTTCACCCTGTGATCTCTGTCACTTGTTTTTATTGATGTATCCATGCTCCTGTGTACAACTAGGCTTTTCAAGTGATTTAGCTTAAAAAACAACCTCTATGTATGAATCTCACTTAACATTCAAGCTCAAGACTGGGTGCTGCAAACTTGGCCAGATATTCCCATCCAGCTTAGGAATCCTTAGTATCTTGCTTGCACTTCTGGAAGCGGCAGCTTCTGAGTGGCAGTGAATTTGCCGCAAGCAATGGGAGACACCGCCTCCCGTAGGGTGGAGGTGCCACGGAGCAGCTGGCTGCTAGCGTGGCTTGCCAGGGTACAGGCAGCGGCTCCCCACTTTCTACAAAGCATCTGGAGTTGTTCGACTGAGCAGCACCCGGCTCCCGTCTACCTAGAAATGCAAAGCAGACTAAGGCAGATCAGACTTGGGAAGTGAGGATGTGAGGCTAGAGCGTGGGAAGGCAAGAGGCTGCCTGCTACGCAGGCTTGTTCTGTATTCGGGCAAATACAATAGTTAGAGAAAAAGAACAGATGAACTAGAGAAAAAGGGAGAAAGGTATAGAAGTTAAAGATTAAAAAGAGAAAAGGAATGCACAGGAAAGAGTTTTGCATTATGTGATAATATAATTGAAAGTACAAAACCAGCCCACTCACATTTTGAAACAAACAAAAGGAGAGCAAAGACTATTGTTTGGTTTGGGGGATTGGTTTTTTGTGTGGTTTTTTATTATAATCTACTCCAGCATGAGCTTTAGCCTTGGCTCTGTATTCCATAGGTCTGGTGTTAATAACAACGTCACTGTTTCTGTAGAAGGCGTCCCTGGATGCCTGTAGTCTCTCAGCTAAAGATTATCAGATGTTCTACCAGGGTTAGCAATACTGGTGGCCTCTGACAAACCC